ATCAAATGCTTGTAACAACGTTCTGTTTTGTATTTTTTTTAAAGGAAAAAGCAAATGGATTTTGTTGGATTCTTTTTAGACAAAGGTTGGTAACAGAACCCAAGAAAGATGTTCCTCCCTTTCTTGTTGGTATTCGGGTTTATAGAATGAGCTTCACACAAAGAATGGAGACGTGATATTAAGCAGAGTAAGCAAGATCTGAAGAAACATAAGGTTGCATGGTTTTCCTTCATTTGTGAGACCAGCAATGGGCCTATAAATCTACAGGTAAACACCCTAGATGGTAAAAGGGAAAAAAAAATACACCGGGACATGATCAATGAAACAGGGCCGTGGACATTCACACAGTGAGACCAAGGAGGATCTTCTTAGGAGAGGATCACAACGGCTCAATGCTTAAAATCATATTTATTGAAATGAACTCCAGGAAATGGAAACTAGAGGGTTTTTTCCCCTTTGTTTTCTTTTTGTCTGTGTGTTGGTTTCTCTGTCTCTGGGAGGGTGAGGGGGGCACAGAAATGGGGGGACAGAGGGGGAACCAAGGCAGCCATGGTCCTCACTGGATACCATGTGGAGAATGAACTCTACCACTTGTGGGTGGGGATGGGAGGGAAAAACTGGGGGAGGGGGAGAGAGAAGGAAGGGAGGACATGGTCCAAAAAGAAATGCGCTCATGACCTGACTGATGTCACCTTCTGTCCATCGCTTTCATTATAACAATGAAGATGTTTAAAACAAAAAAAAGAATGGATGAACTGTTCTTAACTTTTTAAAAAATAGTCACGAAGACAACTACGAAAAGAAACTACAGCACCAGACATAGTTGAATATCTGGACCACCAATTATTTGGTGGCTAGATTAAAACTGGAGCCTGGATCCATTTTTGGGGGGTGGGGACAGCTTGAACTCAGATCCTGGGTGCTCTTCTTGGGTGCTCTACCACTTGAGCCACAGCTCCACTTGCAGCATTTTGCTGGTCCATTGGGAGATAAGAGTCTTAGAGACATTTCTCTCTCAGGCTGGCTTCGAACCATGATCCTCATCTCTCAGCTTCCTGAGTAGCTAAGTTGACAGATGTGAGCCATGGATACTCAGCTCTCTTGTTTGTTTTTGTTTTGTTTGGGGTTTTGGGGGGGTCTATTTTCATGTCTAATAACTTAATGGGAATGCTACAAAGCAGAAAGGCTGAAATTTAGAGAATCTGATTTCAGGCTCCGAGCTTAAATTTCCTAGGTACAGAGAAGAACCTGGCTTGGGGGAACCCAAGGAAAGGAGAGGAATTATCTGGTAGATGGAAGGACATAGTAAATGATCAAGGTGGATTAGGGGGTCTGAAGCCCCCCAGGGGCATCTGGGAAATTCCTGGGGACATAGGGGTGTCTCAGTCAAGGCACAGCCTCAGTAAACCCAGGTCCTGGGTTACAAGATGTTTCCTAGAGAGGCTAAAGTGGCAGAGGGGAGGCTCCAAATACAGACAAAGCACTCAGCTCCGCCCCCCAGCAATCCAAGTCTAGCATTAAAACATTAAAGACAGCAAGGCACCCATGGCTCACGCCTGTAATCCCAGCTACTCAGACAGTTGAGATCTGAGAATTGTAGTTCAAAGCCAACTTGGGGCAGGAATGTCTGTGAGACTCTTATCTCCATTGAACCAGTAGCAAAAAGCCAGAAGTGGAGCTGTGGCTCACGTGGTAGAGTGCCAGCCTTGAGTTGAAGAGCTGAGGGACAGCGCCCAGGCCCAGAGTTCAAGCCCCACCACCGACAAAAAAATAAAAGCGTTCAACACTAAAGACTCATCACAAGCAAAACTGATAGTAAGCTGTCTGTTTTGTTCAAAATGGTCAGAATTCTGGCAGGCTTTCTTTTTAATATGTGCATTGATGAGTAAGAACAAATACATTTACAATTCTCCCTGAACCGGGGTCTGCCCTGGAATTTGAGATCTCAGACTATGTTGCATTTTCCTTATGAAATAAGAGTCGATTCTAATCATGTTTGCCTCGGGGATTTATAGGAAACCAAAATGGATGTAATCCAAGCCTGACCTGGTCTAAGACTCTCTATCCGCCTAAGAGTGAGTTGCAATGAAGCCAGGCAGAAGGTTAGAAAATGAAGGTTCTTCTTACCAAAAAACAAGGCTAGAGGTGTGGCTCAGCTGTGGCCTACCCTAGCGAGCAAGTCAATTAATGTAAGGTCGTGAGTTCAAACCCCATCCCTGAAAGCACACACGCATGCGCTCTTGCTCCCCACCCCCATCCTTCAGATATCACTCTGCCAAACGTCTTCCCCAAACCAAAAATCCCTGTATAAAGGGAATCACAGAATTAAAAACAATGAAGGTCTTAGAAGATCGCAGGTGCAGGGAGTAACCTCGGTAGAAAATAGAATTAATTCTCAATAATGCCTTCAGAAGGTCTTTCTACGGAGAGGTGCTCATGTTGAGCATTTTGGGGAGGAAAAGATTGGATTTCCAAATGTAGCATTAATTTAAACATTTTTAGATCTATATTATATATAACATTTGTACAATATATATGACATTTGTAGGCCATATATAAAACATATACTATGTAGTATACATTTATAATCTATATATTATATGTTATGTATTATATATAATCTATGTATTATATATGTGTTATATGTTATGTTTATAAAATAGTATATATCATGTATATACTATTATACATACATAATTATATGTAATTATTCATTTATTATATGCAATTATATATAATTAACAATATAAAATATATCATATATTTATATATGCTACAGTATATATTACATATTATATGATATATAATATACAATATTTTATTATATATTATACATAATAAAGACTATAATAAATGATACAATAATATAATATATAATACAGTTATATACTATATATATTATATATTATATACTATAAAATTAAATATTGTATATAATTATATTGTATATGTTATATATTATATAATAATACATATAGTATACTATAGAATAAATAATATGACAAATAATAATGTATTATATATTATATACTACAATATTAAATATTGTATATAATTATATTGTATATGTTATATATTATATAATAATACATATAGTATACTATAGAATAAATAATATGACAAATAATAATGTATTATATATTATATACTACAATATTAAATATTGTATATAATTATATTGCATATGCCATATATATTATATAATGTTGGATATTATATACAATTATATGCATTATGTTATATTATATATGATTATTATGTATTCTTAAAATATATATTAGGTTACATTAAATATTATATAGTATATAATATAATCAACAATATAATGTATAACATATCTAATATGTATTATATGTTATATGTGTATAGTAGATATTATATATGTATGCTATACACATATATAACACATATACGTACATGATCACAGATAATATAGGCACGTTTTTTCTAATGAAGAAGACACTGTGCAGCTTTGAATTTTGATCCAGTTGTCTGTGGCTCTCCAGGGTGAGATGCTTTATTTATTCCATTCTTGAGCTGTACTGTATCCCAGGTGCTTTACCACAGGTCTAGACGGCCCTCCCCTCCCTCTGCTGGAGCTTGCAGGAATTCCACCAACTGGCAGGAAGAGATCTGTGCATAGCAAGAGTGATCTCTGCTAGTAGGAAAAATAAATGTGAGCCGGGCCCGGTGGCTCCCGCCTGCCGTCCCAGCTACTCAGGAGGTAGAGCACCAGCCTGGAGGGAAAGAGCTCAGGGACGGCGCCCAGGCCCTGAGTTCAAGCCCCACCACTGACCAAAAAATAATCCAAAGACTCGGTAATTGTACAACAAAAGAGGCTGATGACAATAAATCGTCTCATTTGCATTTAGACTCATTGCTTTATTGGGTAGTTCTGCTTATTTGGTCTAATTTCCATTGATTTAGCCCTAGGAACATAAATGGGCTTTCTAGTCTCATGAGTAATTTCTAAAGTGAATCTCTTAAGTACAATAAGAGACTGTGGGTAAAAAAACGATTAAAAAATAATAATAAGTCTTGCTGGTGGCCCCCGCCTGCCATCCCAGCTACTCAGGAGGCTGAGATCTGAGGATCGAGGTTCAAAGCCAGCCCAGGATAGGAAAGTCCATGAGACTCTGATCTCCAATGAACCACCAGAAAACCAGAAGTGGAGCTGTGGCGCACATGGTAGAGCACCAGCCTTGAATAAAAGGCTAAGACTAACCAGGCCCTGAGTTCAAGTCGCAGTACTGGTGTGCACGCACACGCACACACTCACACACACCACACACACACACGCCTCACACTGGATGCAATGACCCAGGTCCCTGGGTCCATTAGAAAGCCTCTGAAACATTTTGGGGTGCCAAAGTCTCTCAAAGATGCCAAAAGATCATTCCTGGCCATTTGAGTATCTAAGGAACGTCTGTGTGAATACTACATCACTCACACACGCCCAGACTTGAAGTGTGCACTCATGGTAACCACACAGCTGAGTGAAATTCTCACCTTCCTCTCCTGCCTCTCTGAAAAACTCCTTCCTTCTGGCTGTTTCTAAGACACCTACGTGTTTACATTGCTGAGAGCCATGACATGTTAGTGGGGGAGGGTGGGAAGGGGGTGAGTCTTGAACTCAGGGCCTGGGCGCTGTCCCTGAGCTCTTCAGCTCAAGGCTGGTGCTCTACCACTTGAGCCACAGCGCCACTTCCGGTTTTCTGGTGGTTCATTGGAGATCAGAGCTTCACGGACTTTCCTCCCCTTGTTAGCTTTGAACCACGATCCTCAGATCTCAGCCTCCTGAGTAGCTGGGATTATAGGTGTGAGCCACGGGTGCTTGGCAATTAGTGGGTCTTTATTGCAAGTAGATAGTATCTACTACCAAGGGTCAAAAACAAAATATTCAGAAGGAGGAATTCCACAGCAAAGGCCCCTCAGATGACAACTTTATTTCTTGGCATGATTTTAGACATTAGAAAACATGGCGGCTGGGCATCGTGGGTCTAAAGTTCTGTCTCTTTGCCCGGCCAGTACTGAGACTGGAAGAGGTGATTCGTCGGAGTGCATCTTTCTTTCCTGAATCTTGTAGATGCCGTGGCTCGCTCGCTCTTGGCTGTAAAGTGACTGGGTTTTGAGATATAATTCTTCTTTAACACGAAGAGTACCGCAGTGCTCAGGAATATGGCCACTGACCCCAAAGTTACAGTCAGCCCGAGATAGATGTGTCTAGAAGAAGAAGGAGCTCACAGTCATAATTCTTGTGGCTAGTCAACTCGTAATAAAATATAATGTGAAGCTGGGTGCTAGTGCTCACGCCTGTAATCCAAGCTACTCAGGAGGCTGAGATCTGAGGATCGTGATTTAAAGCCAGTCCGGGCAGGAAAGTCTATGAGACTCTTATCTCCAATGAACCACCAAAAAGCCAGAAATGGAGCTGTGGCTCAAGTGGTGGAGCGCCAGCCTTGAGTGATTAAAAACTCAGGGATAGCGCTCAGGCCCTGAGTTCAAGCCCTAGGTCCGGGACCAAAAAGAACAAAGTCAAAGGAAGGTCACAATGTTACTTCGATGATTTTCTTGAAGACTGCAGATGCAGAGGAGAATGATAGCTATGAAGTCTTTTGGACAAATGCTGGTAGAGGTGCGTGTGTGTGTGTGTGTGTGTGTGTGTGTGTGTGTGTGTGTGTGTGTTGGTCGTGGGCTTAAACTCAGGGCCTGGGCACTGTCCCTCAGCTCTTGAACTCAAAGCTGGTGCTCTACCACTTGAGCCACAGCTCCACTTCTGGCTTTTTCTGAGTAATTTATTGGCAGCAAGAGTCTCAAGAACGTTCCTGCCGAGGCTGGCCTTGAACTGCGATCCTCAGATCTCAGCCTCCTGAGTTGCTGGGATGACAGGCGGGAGCCACCAGCGCCCAATCAGTCCTTTGTATGGGGAAGAAAAAAAGGAACCACCCAAATCTCTGGGAGGAAGCAGTTGCTAAAGCAAGCTGGAGCTGTCAGGGGGGCAGAAGGTTCGAGAACAAACCACAGGGAGGAATCCATCATTCTTCCAACGGTCGGAAGATGCTTGGGGTTGAGCCACCATTGGCTATTGATTTCCCACCCCCCCTCAACTCGACAAAGCCTTGGCAATTGGGGGGACCCCAAATTATCCTCCCACAGGAGAGCCCTGGGCCCCAAATCAATTTCACACAGCCCCTCAAAGCCTTGTCAGTCACACTGCTCACGTCCAACTTCCATGACCCAACAAACCATGTTTCTTTCTTGGACAGAAACGAGCTCAGCTTGTACGTCTTTGTGTGGTGTGTGTCTGCTTTCTCGTCCTTCCGCCTTTCATGCTTTTAAGTGATTGAAGCAGTTGCTTTAAGTAACAAGAGGCCTTAAATGTTTAATGAACTGAACGCGGTGGCCCAGAAGCCCTGGTGTTCACACGAGAGGAAATGCTTTGTGTGTGTGTGTGTGTGTGTGTGTGTGTGTGTGTGTGTGTGTGAGTTCCAAGTCCTGGAAGAATGAAAAGAACCGTTTTGGGCAATCAGAGGCAGACAGATTTCCAGCCAAATGCTTTTCTTCCTGTCCAGGGGGGAATTACAACTGACGTCAATGAGATAGTTTAGCTCACTTAAAAGAGAGAGGAGAGAGAGAGAGACAGACAGACAGACAGACAGAGACAGAGAGAGACAGAGACAGAGAGACAGACAGACACAGAGACAGAGAGACAGACAGAGAGAGAGACAGACAGACAGAAAGACAGAGAGACAGACAGAGACAGAGACAGAGAGACAGAGACAGACAGAGAGAGACAGACAGAGACAGAGAGACAGAGAGAGACAGAGACAGAGAGAGACAGACAGACAGAGTGAGAGACAGACAGACAGAGGCAGACAGAGACAGAGAGACAGACAGACAGAGAGAGAGAGAAAAAAAATAGAATGAAACCCCAAAATGTGACCTAATTTTAAATGTTTCTGAGTTTCAGAGAATTACTTCCTCGCTTGTATGTCTCTGCTTGCAGCATGCTTCCTTCTAGAATCTTCTGTCATACATATATATGCATGTGTGTATATATATTTTTTAATATTTAATATCTATTTTAAATATTTAAATATATATGCGCATGTATTTAAAGTTTACTCAAAATGCTAGTCAAAGTTAGGAATGGAGGGGAAGATAAAAATCAGATTAGCTGAATAAAGGAACCTCAAATTAGTGTGCTTTGGGGTGATTGATCAGCAGAAAAAGTACACAGGGTAAAAGGAGCAGTAAGCCAGGCACTGGTGGCTCACACCTGTCATCCCAGCTACTCAGGAGGCTGAGATCTGAGGATCGTGGTTCAAAGCCAGCCTGGGCAGGAAAGTCCGTGAGACTCTGATCTCCAACGAACCACCAGAAAACTGGAAGTGGTGCTGTGGCTCAAGTGGTAGAGCACCAGCCTTGAGCTGAAGAGCTGAGGGACAGTGCCCAGGCCCTGAGTTCAAGCCCCAGATCTGGCAAAAAAAAAAAATAGGAGCAGTACTGCAGCGAGCTTTGAGGTGCTTGACTTAGTACCTGAAGAGCCCGGAATCGTAGAACCTGCAGGATCCTCTGCTCCCGCAACTTCTAACTCCCCATTGCAGACATGCGCTGTCGATCAAAACGCCAAAATACACCGGGGCCGGGATTCCGGCTGTGAGAATCAAACACACCGTTAGTTCTGGACCAGAGGCAAGGTGCTTCGTTTTGGGTTTTGTTCACAAGAATGATCTAGAGGGGCTGGGAAGGTGGCTCAGTGGTAGAGCGCTTGCCTTGCATGCATGAGGCCCTGGGTTCGATTCCTCAGCACCACATAAGCAAAAAGAAAAAAGCCAGAAGTGGCGCTGTGGCTCAAGTGGTAGAGCACCAGCCTTGAGCTGAAGAGCTGAGGGACAGCGCCCAGGCCCAGAGTTCAGGCCCCACGACCAGACCAAAAAAAAAAGAATGATCTGGAACAACTTTGCTTGTGGCCTGACCATTACTGTCTGAAAAGTCATCAATTACAGGATGATGTTCCCTCCCTCCCTCTCTTTCTTTCTTTGTTTTTTCTTTTTTATCAGTCTTGGGACTTGAACTCTGGGCCTGGGCGCTGTCCCTCAGCAATTCATCTCAAAGCTGGCTCTCTACCACTATGAGCCACAGCGCCACTTCTGGCTTTTTCTGCTTCGGTGGTGCTGAGGAATCGAACCCAGGGCCTCATGCATGCGAGGTGAGCACTCTACCACTGAGCCACCTTCCCAGCCTTATTTATTTATGCGTTAAGTCACCAACGCCATTTTATCTTCACAGTGCTAGTCCTCATTATCTTAATCTACAATTGTTTAGGAACTCTATGACCTTTAACAATAAAATTATATATATATATATATATATA